TCAACATAGACTGCCATTGATTTTTTGATCTACTCGGAAAACATATGGTTAACCTGATGCTGGTAGGTCGCCCCAGCATTTTTCAGACCAAAGGGCATAACTCTATAGTAGTATAGTCCTCGATCTATGATAAATGAGGTATGCTCCTCATTGGGCGTGAACATCAAAATCTGATTACATCTCGAGTAGGCATCCATGAAGCTCTACAGCTTGTGCCTGAAAGTGGCATCAATAAGTTGTTCTATTCTTGGTAGAGGGAAACTGTCCTTTGGGCAGGTTTTATTGAGATCGGTGAAATCAAGGCAGGTTCGCCACTTACCGTTGGGTTTTTTTCACCAAAATAGGATTGGCGACCCAAGTAGGGTAATGAGCTTCTCGAATGAACCCGATTAAGAGGAACTTATCCACCTCAACCTTAAGAGTTGCATAACACTCTAGGTCCATAACTCTTTTCTTTTAGTGAACTGGCTTGACTTTACTGTCGATGTTGAGTGCATGACATCTCTAGGCTGATCCCGATCATGTCAGCATGAGTCCATGCAAAAAAAATATATATATTATGTCTAAGGAAGCTCGTTAAATTGGTTGCAAGCCGAGGACCGAGATTACTTCTGATTCTCAACACACAAGTTGACTCAATCTCATTGACAGAAACCTCAGATAAAGTCTTAACTGGCCCACTATAGGAATACTCTTTTGAACGTGAGGGTCGATACTGTCTTCCATTGGACCAGGCTGTGGCCCGATCCTATTGATCGTCATTGCCTGTTCAGGAACGCCCGTAGGGTTCCCTTTCCTTTTGCATGCCATCTGTATTGCCCTATTATAACAGTCATGAGATTCACACTATGATCCCCCGACTTCCTCATACCTTGTTGGAGTGAGAAACTTTATCTTCATATGGTAGATTAAGGTGGAAGCCTTGAAATTCTGTAATAGAGATTGTTCGATGATGCCATTAAAAGCTGATCGACAATCCACTAATAGAAATTATATCATTTGATCATTTCGTGGTATCTCCCAAAGTGGCAAAAAGGAGATCATTCTTCGGGGAATTAGATGGTCTCTGGTAAACCCATATAGAGGAATGGAGATAGGCTTCAAATCTGTCTCTTCCAACCTCATTTCCTTAAAAGCTCACTGAAATAAGATATTCACCGTGCTCCCATTGTCCAACAACATTCTGTGGAGTTCGCACCTTCCTATTTCAACCGCAACGACCAGTGCATCCTCATGAGAGTGATGCCGTTGAACCACGTCTTTACTAGAGAAGGCAATCTCCTCTTCTCTACGCACCTTGCTAGGTCACGGTGCCAGACTCAGAACATTCAAAGGCTCATGCCTAGCCTCTCGAGCATACTTTACTTGTGCATTCTGAGAGTTTCCGTCTATATGAGGTCCCCCAAAAATAGTCCTTACCAAGTAGAGACCTTGGCGCCTCTTTCCATGGCCCCCTTGATCCTTCTCCCTTACAGGAGTTAGAACATCAACATACTTCTTGAAGTGCCTCTTTTGAATGAGGTCTCTAATTGCTTGCTTAAGAGCTCAACATTCATCGATATGATGCCCATTATCCTGGTGGTAACGGTAGTATTTCTTGCCATTCCTTTTAGATGCGGGTTTCTTCATGGGCTCTACTCTTTGAGTAGTTTAGCTTCTTCTGATTTATCCAGAATAGTTGAAACTGATGCATTGAGTGGAGTGCACGATCATGATCGTGACAAGGACCTTAGGCGTAAGATTTCTTAAGCTCAAACCATTGTTTCTTTCCCTTTCTCTGATCATCATTAGACCATTTGTGATTAGATCTTCTACTACTCTCTCCCCAGTTTTCCTTCATCTGACTGGGGGCGTTGGTCGAAGGCCTAAGGTCGTGGTGATTTAAAGCTGCCACTGAGTTTTCTATCTGCAAATATTTCTGTGTTAGATTGTAGAAGCAAGTGAGGAAATATCATCCTCAGATTGCAGTTTCTTCCACAGGTCTGTTTGCATGCAAACTCCGACAATTATTAGAGTTCGAACTAAATCCTTAGTACACCTTGTTAAGTTCCTTGTGAAATTTGTTAATATAAGACTGAAGAGACTCATTCTTCTCCTATCGTATGTTGTTGAGGTAGCTTAATGGCATTGAGAACTTCAAATTGGCCTAGAAGTGTCTCAAAAATAACAAACTCATCTACTTCCATGAGTTGATAGAACCTGGTGGAAGCGATCTGAACCAACGTTTAGTGTGGACAGTCAGAGTCACTTCTAAGCAGCAACATTTTGCCAAGTTAGAAACTTTGTGAAACTCCATTAGGTCATTAAACTTATAGAGGTGATCTTATGAATCAAAATTCCCATTAAATGCCTTCATATCGAGCATTCTAAATCTTGATAGGAAATGAGCAGTCAAAACTACTGAAGAAAAGGGAGGCACCTCAACGACATACCCCTACTCATTGTGTTGAGCTCTAAATTGATCCAAAGTTCACTGTAACTCCTTATTTGAGGAAGGGGAGCCCTTTGGGGATCACTTTCTGCAATGTAGGTATGCTCTCTACAATTGCGACTAAGAAAGGACTATAGATCGGAACCTTCCCTGCCTTGGCCGGAGCCTTTGGCATGCCTGGACACAAGCTAGCTAAAGCCTTGTGAAGGCACTGAATGGCTTGAGGAGTTCTCCCTACTTCCACGGTGGTTAAAACCGACCCGTTAATGATGAGTACTTCCCTCGCGGTGATTATTGGGACCATCATTCCAGCGATGGTGGGAATCTCCCTGTCGAGCACTCTTGTGGGGGTGCTCTTGCGACATGGCATGGGATGGCTCTTGGTGCAACATACTACCAAGTCGTAGGGCCGTAGGTTTTCTCCCTAGCTCGTGACCAGTATTCGCTGGCCTTCTAAAGCCTTTCGGCCTATGCTTAGCCACTTGTTTTCCCTTGTCTTTACGCATAGTAGTGTGTGTGGTATGAGCTTTTGCTTGTTTCCACACTTTAGCACAACCTACAGGCATTTTTGGAGGTGCTACCGCCTTATCAGAGTTTGGCGGCATGACATTATCCAAATGATCTAGCTTTTGGCTCATCGTTTAAAGGGTGTTATTGAACCTTTCCAAATAGTCCATCATAGTCAGATCTAGCTGAGAAGCTGAAGGGATGTCATTGCAGCACTTTGGGGACATGGAACTACTTTGGGAGTAGTAGTCTCCTGAGTGTAGGCAACCTGTTCATTGTTGATGCTAGCATGCTCGGTTTCAAGACTACAAGCCATGAGTTTCTAGTATAACTGATTGATTAGTTAAAATTACTAGATAAAGAGCTGATGTGATAGAGCCAAATTGTTGATGCTAGATTTTGACACCAACGACTTCGCACGTGCAAAGTGCTAAGAGAATCTTAGAAATTACACATGATTAATTTGAGATTTAGGTTAAAATCATAGTAGCATGCATAGACTAAATAGTAAATGAGACAGTGAGAATTTTATAGTGGTTCGGATGCTTAAAACGATTCCTACATCCACTATTTTCTTTTATATAAGTGTTCTTTATTATTAGCCAAGTTACAAGAGGTTGCAAACTACGAACTGAATTACAATAACTTGGTATTCAGAGAGAATATTAAGCCAGTCTCTTTCCCATAGGTTGTCTTTGTTATTTGCTTTTATGAAAATTAGAGATCCCGATTTTGTGAAGGGAAGTCCTCTATTTATAGCCAATGAGTTCAAGGTAATGATTACAAGTTTACAAGTAGGTAGTGCCATGCAAGTCCTTCCTCCCATCCCATTGGCTGATAACTTAGGAAATATCCTTAAATTATATGGGGCTTGGACAGGTGTGCAAACCTCATTCGGTCACAGACAAAACTTAAGCTTGCTGAGTTGGTGACAGCCATATTTTCTCTATCTTAGGGCTACGTGGCAGATTCTGAATGGTGCAAAGCCTTCCTGAACTTGGATTGGTGCTCCTGTAAGCTTACGTCAACCCTAATTTTTTAGCCATAACATTGATAAAGATAAATCCAATGATCGTATTTTAAAATTACATATACAAGTGTAGGTTTAGTTGGAACCGATTGTGTTAGATTCAACAAAAAGGCATTTAAGGCAAGACTTGAACTGTGTCAAGCCTTCAAAGTTTTATGAGGAAATTTTATTTGGAAGTTGTTTTTGACAAAATGTCATTATCAAAAAATATATTTGGAGAAAGAGAAATAAGAAGGATAGAATTATTTAGTTGAATAATTCAATTGACAATTGTCAAACGAGAGAGAAAAATAATTCTATAAAAATGGGAATTTTGAATAATTTGTTAGAGGAAGTTGCTTTAATTTAATAGAAATTTTAAGTGATTTACAGTCCCATTTAGTTATTAGTATAGGCAATCACATTTTATTAATATTCAAGCACAATAAATAAGTGATTAAATTATATCACTGCTTCGATATTGTGACTAGACTGTCAGATTATAGGATCAATATTTTGTCAAATTATTATGAAATGAATAATCTCTTAGAAGAACTTACTAAAAAAATTTATATAAATTGATTTTACAATTTGATTTGTAAAATTCTTATGAATAGGAATAGTCTATGATTCAAACTAAACCCTAAACCCGTTAAAATGGATATTGTAAAATACATGCAATTGGCCGTGGTAGTAACTAGTAAGTTTAAATCAACAATGTTACCTCCATATTTGGACTAGGCAAAAGTAGAATATATATTCACACGTGTTATTACTCGATTCCACGAATCACTTCAAATCCATGATAAAGTAGAGATGGCAACGGGGCTCCCCGTCCCTACGCCATTCCTAGTCTCCACCCCGCACAACGGGGAAAAATCCCCGAGGGGTTTTTTCCCGACTCATTCCCCGCCCAAATAAAAAAATAACAGAAAACTGAACTGATTGTATGAATATATTGACTCTGAATAAAAATGTTGCAGAATTGACACTTACTTTAAACATGGGTTTGAACATCAAATTCAATTCTGAAAAAAGGTAATGACACAACCCGTCCCAAATTTCCTCATCCCGTAGGATCCGGGCGCTCCCACAAGACTCAGATACCCGAGACGTGTCATGTAGAAAAACTGCGAAACCTGTTTAAAGACATACTTTTCCTGAATAACATCATAGTATTTCCATTTCCAACATCTCAAAAAAAAGACATGCATCATTTTTCGTTTTACAAAAGGAAAGAGTTAGGGAAAATTGTAGTATCAGGTTTTCCACTTATACTATACATTCCAAAACATGAAACAAAAGGAAATACATGAAGGAAAACATGAGTTCTTGAAACGAAAGTCCAAATTTTACAATGCGACGTAAATATAAAACCCACATAAAAGATGTCAACGCGTGGCACAACCCTGAGCGGAGGCTCACCACTCGGCACGATCTCCGGAAGGTCCTGGTGGGGGGGAAAAACATTTAAAAAAAAAAGGGGTGAGCTGAAATACTCAGTGAGTGGGGAAAAGGGGGAATTTGCAAAACATTCGTCAAACAAAAGTTATGGCATGCAAAGGTTTTTATAAAAATACAGAAAACAACATGATTCCATGAACATTCTTTTACGGTGGCAGCTAATCATCCATGTATGCATGCATAACTCATTTCTAATTGTTCTAAGTATTATAATCTGATCAATTAAACTGACAACAATTTCTGAATCCTAGCTCATCACTAAATGCTGAAAATTCTTTTATGAGAACTTAAAGAATAGCTGTAAATGCTTATGCTTCTAAAGACGATGTTTTCTATAAATCATGCTACAACATCAACTGTTTCATATAACTAATGCAAACTATCCATCAGATACTGAAAACTGAAGCTATTAACTGATACTGAAAACTGTAGGCTGGTATCTGAAAACTTTAAACTGATATCCTGTTTCGAAGCAGTAAACTGATACTAAAGGTTCTCACCACAACTAGTACCCTGGGGAAAAATCTCGATACCTGGTGGGCATCCCACACACAGGCAGAGCTGGGAAATACATCTCGATACCCGGCAAGATCTATCATCGCGCGGGCAGAGCCTGAAGAAAACTATCTCAATACCTGGCGGACAAACTCAACGCCCAGGCAGAGCACTAAATATCTCAATACGCATGCGCAGAGCCTGAAGACCAAATATCTCAATACCCAGCGGAATCCTGCATCGCGTGGGCAGAGCCTGAAACTGGGGGAATGGGTACTTCGTAGGGTGGTTTGTAAGCCATTACTATACTTATTCTTAACCCAATACATTATATTTCTTCAAAACATAGGCCTTTATAAAATTATTAAAACATTATGAAATAATTTATGGTAGTGTATTCTGGGCTAAAATGTAAGTAAAGACAAGTAATGAAATAAACATGAGGGAGCCAAAAGAAACTTTACACAATTATTAAATAAATCTACAATTCACGTGACAGGCACTTCCACAAAACTGGATGCATCATAGTTTCAAATACACCCTCAGTACTCTTAAGCGTAGCACTTAAACCCTGACAAAATTGTAACATGTAATTATTAACTAAGGTTTGCACTCCATGTAAGTCTCATAGACATGAAAAGCAGTGGCTTGCATTTAATGCTTCAGACTCAATGCAACACACAAAAAGAATATCAATTTTCTATAGCCGTAATATTTGACTACTTGAACTTGTAGAAAATTATCAGATTATTCAGTTTTCTATTGAACCCCATATGTTCTTGAACTTTCAGCATCCCAACTTTACAAATATTTTCAGATCATGACTCCTAGTCCACTCTCACACGTTCATCCTGCTAAGTAATTATTGTAAGGCAATTTCTTTAAAGCAAATGAAGTTTAGAACTTTGTCTCATATGAAGAAAATCTAATAAAAACACCATCTCACTATTTTACATTAACGTTCAAACAACTTTTAGAAAAGGGAATAATATGTTAATGGAGCTATTCAATGCATTCTCTTTCAACTATTTGACCGAATATCAAACAAAGCAATTAATAAATTGTTTATAACCTTTTATCATTAACACCCAATTGGAAATACACGGCTTGCCAATAAGATATTTTGGTAAAACCTTGTAATCAACTTGATTAATATCAGGACACTTCCAACAGCAACATACAGGTTCCATAAATACTTGAAATAAGGTTTTAAGAGTTCATCACATAAGGACTTATATCACAGTAAAGGCATCTAAAAACCTTTCTCAAACAATAGCAAACAACTCATCTTTACCGAATGAACAACATTTCCAATTATTCAATTCAACATGATTTTTGAAGTAACTGAAAAACAGTAAGCTTAAGGTGACATGCAAGCTTTGAAACTCCATTCTTTTTTTTTTTTTTTTTAAAGAATTCTTTTATGCATTTTCCGCTCATGTAAAAACAATGCCGAGCATTCAATTTAAAGACAACTTCCATGAATTTCAAACCAATAAACTAAAGTATAACATGCAATTCTTGATAGAACACATTCAAATGCAATATATCTTCATGCATGTAACTTTCAACACATTCAAACAATGACAAACTCAACAATTAACACCCTAGTTCAAAACAAGCTCTCAAACCCACTGAAATGATCATCTTAATTAAAACATGCAAGCTTGAATTTGAAGAAAGTTTTAGTTTTTGCCACTCACACTAAAAAAATTCAGCTCAACCCGAAATACCCAGCTGCCCCAAGCATCATCCTTCTCTTCACCTCACTTTCTCTCCCTCATTTATCTTTTTCTTTCCCTTCCTCCTTCAGCCGACGTTCTCTCTTCCTTCTTCCTTCTTTTCTCTCTTCTTTTCTCCCTTCTCTCTCTTCCTTTCTCTCTTTCTTTTCTTTTTTTTTCTCAGTTTTCTTCTCCACACTTTCTTCTTCTTCTTTTGGGCGAGCGGCCCAAATTTATATATAAAAACAAATTTTTTTTTTTTCTATAACAGCCCCCAAATTCTCTTAATTCTAATATAACCCTGCCACATCATCTTTTCCTTACAAAAACATCCAGATTTTGTGCCCTTGCTACATGCAAACCCAACAGTTCCCATTTCTTCATTTTCACCACTAACCAAACTTTAAAATTTGACAGAAAAGTCCCTCCTCATAAACAAAACCAAAGGGAATATATATATTATTAGAATGGGGTTTTACAGGTAATGTCTAATATTTTAAACCAATAAGCTCAAATGCATTCTCTGGACAAGGAATCTCTAATTCATCATCTCAACCTTCCCCTTCTTCAAGAGCACCAATTTAATCTTCTAAGGCAGCATCATTCTATTCAAACCAAAAAAGAAAAAAACACAGATTAAAGGTAAGATAAGAGTCATACATAATTGATGAGCAGTGAATCGTTGTAATTCATAAAATTTAGTGCAAGAACAATTACAAGGGCATTCTACAAATACAACATTGATGCTTACGGAATCAATCACAGGCAAAACAAACTGTCATTTGCTCCAAAAATGGCAGCATTGAACTGCCTTGTATTCAAGTCAGTCACATCTTAACATTGTGCTTGTTGTAATTTATAAACAAGAAAATATAAGTATAATTTAGTATTGGAGGGATTGTAATAGTTGTTGAGTGCTTTACCTAACAATTTGCAAGTTTCCTCCACCTTCCTTCCCCAGCACCTTTCTTCAAATTTACAAGCAAGTATCCAAGTGCAAACTCAGCTCTTTTATTCTTCATCTCTTCAAAAATTTACATAAAAAGCAGTGTAATTAATAAAAGACAAAGCCAACCAACATGAATTTTTAACAAGATGTTAAGAGATTTGATATGAGAAGCTAAAGCGGGAAATAAGTTAGGGACCTACGGTCTGTAAGCTACTGTTTCCTTTCTTTAAGCCGGCCCAAATCTCATTATTTCGGTGAGATGAAATCTGCGAGCTGGAATCAGCGATAACTGGGGAGGCGACAATTCGTGTGAGAGTAGTTTAGAGAAAAAATGGGTATAAATGTGTAAGATAATTATGTAATTGGGTATAATTTGCAAGGGTATTATTGCAAACATAATATATATACTGACGGGTTGGCGGAAGAGCCATCCCCATCCCCATCCCCAATCCCTGTCAAAGTCGGGGAATCCTTGCCTCATACAGGGCGGGTCCACAAAATTCCGAAGACCCTTGCCATGTTAATTTACCTGCCAACTCAATATTGCCATGTACGTATACAGATTTGGGATTATAACTCTACATATAGCACTTTCTACAAATATAACTTCCATTTAAACATTAGAACTCTGGTTTTATACTACTTAATATAATAGCCAAAATTAAATGTAAGTCATTTGCCTTCGGTTCGGCTCCAGTTGAGGTTAACGACATTTCATCAATAAATGAGTAAATTTATTTAATCCCATAAAAACACAAGAAGTTAGAGAAATGATGAAGAAGCATAATGATGTTTATGACAATTAACTCGACCATTTTGTGGCAACTCCAACTAATGCGTGGTTCGACAAACATGCATATTTAGCAAGTACACTAGTTACAAAAAGTAATACAATGATAAAGTGGAGTATCGTTCCCACGAGGATTGCGTACTAATTACCGAGTTTCCTAATTCTATTACTAATTGATGAAACAAAAATGTTGGAATTGTAGAGGAAAGTAAAGTTAGAATTAAAGAGTAATACTACACATTCATCATTTTCATACAATATTTCTTATACAACATTATGTGGCAACATATGATTGGCTAATTTAAAGTTAAAATTAAACTTTCACCCAATCATATCTTGCCACATAATGTTGTATGAAAATGATGTATGTGTAGTATTATTCAAAATTAAAACAAAAATCAAACAACTAAGATTAACACTAAACTAATCAACACAAATACAAAGGTGGGTGGGAAAGTGTCATTTTGAAACTTAATGGGTGGGAAAGTGTCGTTTCACCAAACCTTAGCTGGGAAAATGTTGTTCTCCCCATATTTTTGTTGTGGATTTTATTTAATTTTATTTATTTGAATTTGGGGGGTAATGTGTAAGAATTGAAACTTTTTGGGGACGTTTTAGAGAGAAATAAGGCCTGGTACGACTACTAATAGCTTGGTAAGAGGACTTGAATGCAATTGGAAGTGTAAAAATCTTTAAGGGACAATTGAAACTAATTAAAGACGAGTGGTCTAACTTATATTATGTCATGCAGGGGTGCATGCAAAATTTGTCCAGTGGATTAATCGTAACAAAACAAAACTTTTATTATATGACCATGGAGTGTAATCTATAAAGATCAAGAACTTGTGGGTACATGAAAACGGCCACTTCAAGGTGGACAAAAAATAAAAGGAATGTAACACCCCACTTGAGGTACATAGTTACGATTTGATGATTGGCTTGAATGGTTATTGATTTGTCCTCATTGGAGCTTGCATGTTGTCATTTTAGGTTGGTTGGCCCTTAGTTGGATTGATGAGTTGCTTTGGTTGAGTGTTTGCCTTGAAAATTATGAAGGATTGGCGAAATTTTTGGGTTACAGGCTTTGCCGGGGCGAAGAAGAAGCTTCCACGCGGCGAAGAGGTGTTGTTGCCCACGGAGTAGCTGTTGGAGTATTTCGCTGCGGCGACGGGCGGGCTGAAAAATTTGTTAAGTTTTAGATATTTTCTTCCCTAAGGGCAATTTGACCATTCTACCCCTAATTAGTAGGAAAAGTGGGGAGTAAAATGTAAGGAANTAAACAAGAGAAAATATTAAATTAGAAAACAAATAAAAAGTGTAAATGAAGTGACACGACACTTTTGTCCTTGTCATAGTAAACCCCTATTATGCCCTTAGTGGGACCTCAAAAGCAACCGGGCCACTCACCCACAAATAGAAAGAGGACCCAGGCTCCAAATCCGGAAGACTCCGGGTCAAGTCCCGAAAGGTAAAGTTATTAACGCGCCCTTCCCTTCTCTCGTCTCTTTCCCTTCACTTTATCCACACCTTTATAACTTCACATTAACACTCTTCACTCACTGAGCTCACTGCTCCCCTTTCTATTTCTAGGGTTTCTCATCATTCACCTACCGATCGGCACCGAAACGGCGTTGTTCACTGCGTCTTGAGTACGGAAGGTTCAATTTTTAGGTTTTTGTGCTTGGATATGCTCGTTTTATGGGCGCAAGTGCAACATCGTGTTCAGGTACAGTTTTTTTCTTTGCTTTTTTTTTTTTTTTTCTGGGTTTTTTGGTTGGGAACTGGGAAACCGTGGGAGATGAAGGAAAGTTGAAATTTGGAGGTGGAGGTTGGTTGATTGAGTATAGTTTGGGGAGTTTGCTCGGCTGAGTTGGGTGGTTTTGTTGTTGATTTCTTTGGTGGTTGCTGAGAAAATGCTGGTAAATGATGGGAAAGTGTAA